CTCCTCTGTGACTCCTCTGCACATGTATTGCCAGTCAGTCAGCTGATGTTTTTTGGAGCAGCTATTATGTCTTTTCTAAGCACTAAGGACACAGCAGTGAACAAAACAGCAAATATCCCTGCTGACTCACCTGGGCAAGAGAACCCTGTGTCAACCAAGCCTCAACAGGCTTCAGCACTTCCTGCCCAGATGCCACAGGAATGAGCCCGGGCATGCCTGCTGGAGAATGAAAGACCATGTAGCCCAGGTGTCCCTGTCTCCCTAGCTGACAGAGAGGTGGCCCCCAGATACATGAACGCCCTGGCTGACCTACCAGCTAATTGCAGAAGCACCATCGAGCCCAGCCAAGATCAGCCTGACCTGGCCCAGAATAACAAAAACACCCAACTGACATTCCAGCAGGAGGAGACATCTTGCTGCTCTACAGAGGAGTGGTCAGTTGCCCATAGCTAATATTCCTGAGCACTCTTCATGTGAACTGACATGTTCGAACCTCACCACCCCTCTCTAAGAAAGTTGCTATTACTACCAGCCCCACTTTACAGCTGAGGAAACCAAGACACAGGTAGCTGAATATCTTTCTCAAGGCCGCCCAGGTAGTGAATCAAAGAGCCAAGATTTACTTGAACCCACATAAAGATGTGGATTTGTAATTTCCCAAAGTGCTGACCTCACCTGGCAAAGGTGAACTTCGGCCATACCTCCCAGCCCACTGGAAATATTCCCAAGCCACACGAGTCAGTGAGGAAATTATGGCAGCACCCACTGCCCCAGGATTGATGGTTTAGGGATCCCTGCTGCTCCAAAGCCATCTCATTGAAACACATCCAGATCAGTTCCTCTCTCAAGGACCCACTAAGATACCACCTCCTCCATGCAGCCTTCCATGACTTCCATGGCATTTCCCCAGTGCCTGTCCTATACCAGGCTCTTGGCTGGGCTCAGGGGACACAGCCAGGGACAAGACACAATCACCATTCACAGAAGCCCTCAGGCCAGAGGGGGAGGCAGCAGAACAAACCAGTTAGGAGCAAGACTTGGGTTGGGCAGAGCTGGGTTCGAATGCTGACTCCTCTACTGACTGGCTGTTTGATCCTGGGTAACTTCCCCCTACTGGGCCTGAGCAGCCTCATCTGTTCAGGTGGCCTTGCCTCCCTCAGAGGGCTGGTGTGCGACTCAGCAAGATAATGTAGGCAAAGCGTCCAGCACATGGGCCTGGGATTCCTCACATGTGAGCCACATGGCCCCACCTCAGTGTCCCCAGCAGGCCATGAGCCCCTTGAGAGATGGAATCATTCCCCATTCACCATCAAGAACCCAAAAGAGCCCTGGCCAGGCCCAGTGTCTGACCACTTCCCTGGACATTAAGGGTCCTGGGATGTGGAATATACTATGAAGCAAATGTACTTCACAGGGCCTGGCTTTCCAAATCCTTGCAGTTTCAAATACTGGCCTTGCGGAGGACTGGAAATTTTCCTCAGGCTATAAAGTCTCCAGTGTAAGATAAAGATTTGTGACACAGCAAGGTTACTGGCTCAAGGACGGACAGGTTACTGATTGATATGTGTAGATACTGGAAAATTGCTGGAGGGAGAAGGAATGTTTGCTAAGATCAAGCTTTTGTTGCTAGGAACACTTAATTGCCTTACTGGAATGTCATCTGCCTTGTCTCACTGAAAGTTACCAGCCTATATTGTTAAACTATAACCCCACCTATGTTCTCTTCCTGTAACTTCCTGGTCTGGAAAATAAATGCAGGAAGAGAACCCCAATTCGGGGTTAATATCCCAAGGAAGGGATGCCTCTTGCTTGAGGGTTCTGGTGGAAGATTAACCACTTCAGGGTCTGTCACTGCTCAGAAAAGATGGGCTTTGAGTAATCCTTTGCATCTCCATCACCCAGGGGAAGTGAAGTGACAAATCCATGGGGGGGCAAAGCAACAAAAAGCAACACTGGGAGACCATCTAAAACCGCAACTGGGTGCCCAGACAAGCAGTGTGAGGTTTACAAAGGGTGTCACTCTGTATAGGGCTCTCTCCCTTATCATCATGCATCTCAGATTCATCAGGGCCACTTGCTCATTTTCCCAGCTCTGGTGTACTCCACAGTGTGACCGGACCTCAATCTCAGTACCCATTCACCTACTGAGGGCATTTTGAGTGCTCCCACTTCAAGGCTGCTTTGAACACCTCATGACCATCCCTGGGTCACCTCTAGGGTACACGGCCAAAAGGCTGCTGGATCCAAGTGCATGTGGGGTTTTCAACTCTACAAGTTAATGCCAAATTATTTTCCAGAGTGGGTGCACCAATTCACACCTCCACCCACAGCCTGGGAGATAGTCCTCACGCCACAGCCTCTCCCGCTTCTGACACTCTGATTTCTTAAATGTCTGAGGATCGTTTTTATAAAGCTCAAAATCAAGTAAAGCAAAATCATATGCTGTTTAGGAATTCATCACATGTAGTAAAACTAGTTTAACAAAAGTAAGGGAGTGGGGGCCGGCCCGTGGCTCACTCGGGAGAGTGCGGTGCTGATAACACCAAGGCCCCAGGTTCGGATCCCACATAGGGATGGCCGGTTCGCTCACTGGCTGAGCGTGGTGCTGACAACACCAAGTCAAGGGTTAAGATCCCCTTACCGGTCATCTTTTATTAAAAAAAAAAAAAAAAAAAAAAAAAAAAGTAAGGGAGTGGACACAACTCAAATGCCCACCACTGCTGAATGAATAAATAAAATGTGGTCTATCCATAATGCAGTACTATTCAGCTATAAAAGTAATAAAGTGCTCATACATACTAAAACACGGATAAATATTGAAAACATCATGCCAAGGGAAAGAAGCCAGTCACAAAAGGGTGCACATTGTGTGATTCCATTTATATGAAACTTCAGAATAAGCAAATCCATGGAGACAGAAAGATTAGTGGGTGCTGGGGGGAGGGGCACTGGGGAGTGACCGCTAACAGATATGGAGTTTCTTTCTGGGGTCATAAAAATGCTCTGGAATTAGATAGTGACAGTGGTTGCACAATCTTATGAATATATTAAAAACAACTAAATTGTATGTTTTAAAATGGTGAATTGTATAGCGTGTGAACTATTTCTCAACACAAATCAACAACGGAAAGGAAATGACAGCTACCACATTTAGGAGGATGGGTGCCTCTGGGGGTAGAAAAGACAGGGGGATGGGGGACTTCAATGGTATTGCTAACAGTCTAAGTTTTAGTTCAGTTGTTCATTTTATTACTACACACTATAACTCAGAATATGTTATGTATTTTTTTCTATGTATCAAATAGCATCTCGTATAATTTTTAAAAGAATCCATGTGAACTTTTCTCCCCTAACTAGACAGAGGGCTGGGGACAGGGGGTGGGGGTGGGGTCCACTCTGCTCATACCCCAAAACTCTCCAAGGCACACTGGGGATCATGTTTGGGATGGGACAGGCTGGGAGCTCCAGTTCCCCCATTTGGCCCTACCTCCTCGGACACGGCAGCCTCCACCATGCCGGCTGCATAGGCCTGCAGGCTGTCATTGTAGCGGCCATCCGTGCCCAGCTCCAGAAAGGCCCACCTGGAGGAGGAAAGAGAGGACACTTGGTCAGCGGCAGGGGCACTTGCAAAGCTGGCCCTCAGCTAGACACACAGCTGTCTCCAGTTCTAAATCATGAAAACAACATAGTGGTTAACAGCTGCTCACATGTACGTCTGCTGGTCTGTTTCTGTGCACTGTCGGGCTAAATCCCTAAAAGAAGATCTGCTCTGGTCAAATGTCACACATATTTTTAATTTTAATAGATACTGACAAACAGCCTTCCCCAAAAAGCTGTACCAATCCACATCCCATCACCCCACAATAATCCCAGCTAATAATACACTGATTGAGGGCTTCCTCTGTGCCAGGCAATGTCATAGTCACTTTCATATCTATTGACTCATTGAATCCTCAAGACAATCCTATAGTCCTGCAAGGGAGGCACCGTTACTGTCCCCATCATATAGAAGAGGAGGAAGTTAAAGCACAGAATCACGTAACTGCCACCCCCACTCCCTACCCACGCCTTTTGCTATGTGACTTTGCAATTCCTCCACCAATGGCCAACTGTCCTTCCCTAGCCCTTGATCTGGGCTTGTTTGGGTCACGTGACTTGCTTTGGCCAATGGAACATGGGCGGAAGTGCCCATGTGCCAGTTATAAGATTAGCCTTCCAGAGGCTTCCCAGGCTTCCACTTGCCCTTTTGTGCCTCTGCCGTCGCCATGCCCCATTCAGTCCATTGGTCCCAAGAATATGAGAGACACGTGGAGCCAGACCAGGTCTGCAGACCTGCAGCATGAAGCACAGCTGCCCCAGCCACCTCATGGATCCATGAGGTTTAAGCCCCTTGGTTTGGGGTGGTTTGTTACACAGCACTGGTGCCCTACACTAGCTGATATACCTGGAAGGTCATGGAGTTAGCAAAGGGCAGAGGCAGGGTCCAATTCCAGGCAGGCTCCCACTCCTCGGAAGCAGGACTTCTCAAACTCCAATGTATACTCAGGTCACCCGAAGGCCTTGTTAGAAGGCAAGTTCTGGTCCGGAAGACTGGGACAGGGTTCTAAGATGCTGCATTTCTACCTAGCTGCCAGGTAATGCCAATGCTGCGAGACCTGGAACTATAATAGGGTATATACCGCCTGTCAACATGCACTAACTCCTGTTTGCCCACTCTCTCACTCAAAATGATTCCTATCAATCTTTTTCATCTCCACTAAGGTGATAATTGAAAAGTCCCATCATACTGCTTTAATTAATTGTAATTCTTTAGTTACACATATTTTCTTACTTTTATTAGTCATTTGTAGTTCTCTGGTTGACGTCCTTTACCCATTTCTCTCCACTGGGTTGTTTTTTTTAAAAAAATATTTTCATATTGGTTTGTGAAATTCTCTACATACATATTAGCCCTTTGCTTGTCACTAATATTAAAAATATGTTTGTATTTTCAGTGATTT